ACGGGAGTAAAAGTGATTCCTCCCGTGTCACAAGGCGGCAAAGCAGCAGTTCCTCATCAAGCAAGCAGCAGGTCACGCGCCTTGGGAAGGGCACCTTGCAACGAGCTTTCATTGCTCCCAGGGCAGCCTTCTCCAGGAAGAAGGGGATTTCTTTTCAACCCAGAAACTACTGCAGCAACGTTTCCAAGGAAATAATACAGGTTTAAACAACACTCCCCTTGTCTGTGGGCTTGTTCCGCGCCCCTGCGTGCACCCAAACCATCAGCACCACCCCTTGTGAGGCCACACAGCCACCAGGACGGGCCCCAGCCCACCCCACGACCACCATGGCGGCTATTGGCACTGGCTGGAGCAGCCCCCTAGAGGCCGAAACCACAGCCCCTGGGTAAGCACCGCCGCTGGGACGCAGGGGTGCCGCGCTGCCAGGGAGCAAGGCTGCAATGGTGGGCGTGCTGGGCGGCACGGGAGGGACAGGGAATAGATGGGGGAGCTGTACGTGCTCAGGTAGAAGGCTGGAAACGATGCCTTCCTCTTGCCAAGAGAGTTTTGCTTCCTGCTTCCTGGATGCTCAGTGTGGAAAGAGGGAAGCGAGGGCGTCCCGCTGCTTTGCTTAGGATGACAAAAGCAGCTGGAGGAGAGAAAAGGGCTTGGCCGAGCCCGGGGCTGGTTCAAACAGCCTCCAGGGTTTTGTGGGAAGAGACAGAGCTCTGTCTGGCACCAGCAGGAGCCCGGATCCGAAAGTTCAAAGAGCGGAGCGGTAGCCTCCAGGGCTGTAACTCACAGGATCTCCGAGCCGCAGCAAGAGCTGCTGGAGGATCAACAGGTCCCGACAGATCAGGAAACGGATCGTGGCAATCTTGCACACCCCCCAGCACACCACGCTGACAGCGGTGCCGCTGCCATACAGCTGGGTGAGGTTCAGGCGCATGTTCAGGTGATGAGCTGAAAGATTAAAACAAACAAACAAAAAAAATATAATCACCGACGAGGGGAGGAACAAGGCGGACACGAGCACTCGCCGAGCTGCTGCTTGCCCAGCCCGAAGGCCCCGCGGCAGAGCCGTCACCTCTTTCCATGTCAGCGTCCGTCTCGTAGTCCATTTCTCGGATGAGCACGCCGATGGCGTGGATGGGGTTCCTGATCTCCTGCAGTTTGCTGTGTATATCCTCCATCACGTTTTCCCTGCAAAGTGGAAAAGGTAATAACAATCATCACCACCACCGTCAGCAACACGAGATTGAAACTCGAGCGGGCTCCCTTCCCTCCCTCGCTGATCCTCCCCGGAAGGAGTGTATCTGATCAGCCTGGATGTTCTTGCTGGGAATCTTCTTCTGGGCTCCTGAGATTTATTACAGCGCCTGCAGGGACCAGTCTATTTATTCCACTCCCCCAGGCTACCAGGAAATCACAGGCAGATAGTTGGCATTCCACGGGGGAAGGATTTCAGGAGGTGAGCGCAGCAGCAACCACACGGCTTGACCAAGGCTCTGACCCCTACCCAGCGTCTGCAGGCACTTGCTTTCCGCACCGCAACGATCCCCTAATAGGAACTCGTTCCTTTTCCGCTCTCTCGTCTCCCCTGAGAACCCCCAAAATGTCTTTTCAGGCAACAGCAAGGGGGGTTCTGGAGGGAAGACCCTGCTAACGCCACCCTCCCCACGTCTGGAAAAAGTCTCCTGCAGCACAGGGAGAGCCCGCACATCCCAAAAGTGCTTTAATGCCAGTCAAGGACGGCTCCGGGCAAATCCTGCTCAGCCATGCGGGCCTCCCTGCAGGGGAGCTTCGGCAAGGAAGGTCTCCTTACGTGTCATTAGCTATCAAGTCCTCCAGGATCTGCTCTGCAGCCTTTTCTGGAGGCTGGAGGCGGGAGCAAGCCATTTCCATGATGAATGCCATTTCCATGGAAATTGATTCTCCGATCAGTCGAAGGCACTGGACAAGACAGACAACATCACGAGACATCTCCAAATCTGTAATGAAAGAATCTAACTGTATATTTACACGAGATTTCAAAGCGAAGCTGGGAGGACCATTCAAAAACCAGTTAGTTCAGCTCCTATCAGCACACTACCAGCAGCAGACCAGTCCCGGTCCCAGTCCCGCGCAACAAACCGATCCTTCCCTGCTAACTACGAGGCCAAATTAAAACTTCGGAGCCGACAAGGGAAAGATTTGGGCTTTGTTATCTGGAAAGTAAAAACTGCCGACGCAACAATAAAGCCACAAAATTCCCTCCAAGGGGTTTTCTCCAGCCACAGGTTGAAAGGAAATAATTAGTGCAGCGTCAGAGCAAAAAAAAAAAACCAAAACCCAAAACCCCAGAGCAAAGGGCTCAGACAGCTCCGCTCTGCCAAGCAGAACACGCTCTCCCTACAGCAGCTATTCATCGGCAGCACAACCCTCACCCAGCCATAGGGGTG